TTGAATATGTAAATATCTGTCTTGACAGAGCAGTAGTTAATTCATTTGCTTTTCTCGAACTTCAGCATTTTTAAAGGTTCATTTCTTCTGTTTCTATCTCAATCAAGTTGACCAATACGTAAGTTGTGGTTCCCGCGGCGCGACGCAATCTTTTTGCGCAGGTCTAACGCGCGAATGACCCCTTGTCAGGTATCATGGCCTAGACGCCTGAGCGGCAGGAGGTAAAAAGGCAGTCTTAATTGCAACACAGGCTAGGGGGCAACTTGCCTAATAGACGTTCGGAAAACGGTTGCAGCGTGCCATGGGGAAGTCGTAGGGAAAATTTGGGGTCATTCTTGGTTAAAAGGCCATAGCCGTGATCACTAAACTTGTTTCAAAGGAGTAGGAGTTATTTGAGGTTAAGGTTTCACTAGGTGTGGAAAGCTTCTTTTTTAGGTTAATACATGGTATCTGGTGCGGCAAGCACACAAAGGACCGATCACTTGCATTGCGTTTGCTCCGGATTCACAAAGAATTGTCTCCAGAGGACTTGATGATTCGCTAAAAATGTGGTCTTTAAAAGATAACAAAAAACCTCTTCTGGAAGTGTATAACTTAGAAAATGCTTTCAAAAGGTATGGAGGAGCAAGTCCTAGTAATAATTGATGAGATCGTAACGCAAAACTTTAGTACTGATTGCGGCTTTTCGCCAAGAGGAGAGCTTGTTTATACTGGGACATCATCACCTGGTGAAGACATTCCTGGAAAGTTAATGTTTTTTAATGCTGAAACATTTGAGCTCGTGTATAAGATCGAGTATCCTGGAAAGGTGAGTTTTCTTCACGGTTTACTCACTGTGAAGTAATTTAGCATATGATTGCAATATATGAAAATGACTTCTTTGATGCTACACTTGCTTGTCTTTTGCTTCGAATATGTGTATCTGCGTACTTCAAGCTGTTTTGCCATACTTCTCATATCTAAAAGTACTTTTGCGCTCTGGTAAAACACAGCGGGAAGTAGGGGAAGTAGAATCAGATAATTGTCTTGTTTGCTAAAAGTGATACTGCTCGTTATACGCATTCTCCTCTCGTATTTCCACCTAAGCTTTACTCATGGACCTATCGTAGACCAAACTTTTGACCTTCTACAATATTTTGCAGAAATTCGAAGCGCGTTTCTGAGCAGCCTCAT